TAATGCTGCTGAAGCCATTCTTGTTGACTTATTCGGTGATGAATACATGGATCCAACGAAGGGCAAAAGTCACAAGAGGGGCCCTACAAATAGCCAGATTGACAGTGGTCGGTCTAAAAAGTCATGGTCAAGTGGGTTCGATGATGTGTGCGTAGCTTTCACTACCTACGTACAGGCGAAAATAGAACATTCACGTGCATGATCAATTGACACAGAGGCTGTAAGTGCAAGTGGTAATGAGTATTCCCTTGATGCATGTCAAGATGCATTGCTAGAGCTTGGGGACATACCACTAGTCTAGTACGTTAGGGCACTGACACTATTTAAAGACAAGGAATGACGAAGGTTTTTTATGCGTACTCCTACGCATATGCGCCTAGCTATGATCCTAGCTTTGCAGTGAAGTAAGAAGTTGTGTTTTGATTGAGTTAGCGATTCTTTTTGTTGTTGTGCAAGATGATTTGATGATTCCTTATTTGTTTTTTATCATTTTTTTTCATCCCATGATATGCTCTTTTGTATCCATCTTCGTATGTTTATTTTTATTGAATTCTTAAGTAGTTTCTGTTTTACATCAATATGTTATGTTATTGTTCTGCGTTTTTTTATGTCTGTATTCTTATGACAAGATAACTACATACTAAACAAATTTTGTTTGCGTGTTTATGTTAGTGGATGCTGGTAAATGACTAAGGCTGACTAAATGTAGCCACTTGTTAATTCAGTTTCACTAACTAATTCAGTTCTATTTTATAATTATGCTATTACTGTGATGTAGACGAAACAATATGCCATCCAACACAGAAAACAATGCAATGGAGATCTCATCAGAGGAGGATGGGGTTATTGAAGATTTTATAGATTTTTTTATGATTGCTTTTATGCATGACCATATGAATGTGTCAAGTAGCAGACGACTACAGCAAACTTGTCCATTCAAAGGTGATGATTACATCTTCAGTTTATTAAATGGCCATCTAGAAATAATGATGGACATTACGCAAATGGATGCACAAACATTCATTTTATCGAAAGACACCTTACTTCAAAATGGCTTTATCGATATTGAACATATGCATATTAGTGTTGAGGAATCGTAGTGATTAATGGTTCAAAATGTTGGCCATGGCTAGATTTGTGATATGAACAAGGCAAGCGAATTTCGTAGTGATTAATGGTTCAAAATGTATAATTATTTTACTAGTTTCAATCATTATGACACCTTTATTACATAATGAAGAGTACGAAGGTGGGGTTTTAAATGTCTTACTTGTAAATTAGTACCGATAAATCGGTTCTCACAAATTGTGGTATAAACCTCAGTTATATCACCAACAATGTTAGCCAACTCAGACTCAATCTGAAAATGGCATTGCAAAGCCCCTGTTTGAACTCCAATAATTTGTGCCAAAGTGTGGGGTTTCAGTGTGATTAGTTTACCTTTCACATAAGAGGTCAGACTATACAATTCCACTTCTCCCTCAGTAGGTCTCAAGTGAAGGTAAAATAAATATATAAGACGGGGATATACCTTTTGTGGTAAATTAGTTAAAGATAACCATCCCATCGTATCTAGTCTGCCAAGCAACAGTAGATCATATTGAGAAGGTAGATTTACCTTTCTTCCCGTAACAATTGGTCGATTGGCAAAATTTGAATAAATTTGTTCGTGATTGTATATTAGAAAATCAATAGTTGAATAGTTATGATGTTGTTGCTGTTGTTGACGTTGTGAAGGGTTAGAGGTTTCGCCATGTTTAGGTCTCGCTCTTTTTGTTCTCGGCGTGATGACTGCAAAAGTTCAGAAAAATGTATGAAAGATGTATAGCAAAATGTATGAAAATGGTGTGAAAAAAAAAGAAGCAACAAATAGCCAAACTTAGCCTCTACTGCTGGTGCAAAAGGCAAGCAACATATAGCCAAACTGAGCGCAAAAGGAAAGCAAACTGGTGAAAGCTCGAACTGAAACCAGTTGACATGTCGGATGACCGGCCGGTTGTCCCGTTTGCTTAAATATTCGGCAGCTCTAAAATTGTGAAGCTATGAAGAATATGAAGCTCTGGTTCAAACTAACCTCTCATGAAAGCTCTTTGTCTCTTCTTTTACACGGATATCTATACTGAATTTATGATATTGTATGGTGAAGAAGTTGCTAAAGTTGTTGGAATGAAGATGGTGTAGTTAAACACATGAAGATGCTGATTTATATACAGCCTCAGTTCCAGAAGTACCTTTTTTTTTTTTTTTTGGTCTTCTTTCATCGAAAACTGACTTATAGCACTTTTTATTTATTTTTCTTTTCTTTCGTATGCTGATCGCTAACACTCTATGGCTCAATTTTGGATTTTTCTTTTCTTTTCCTTTATCGAACAATGACCAACTGACAACCAGCAGAGTAGAAAGGGGGTCTATTGCATGAGTGAAATGACAGTATTGCCCTTTTCATTTTATACTTACATAACAATTTGACATTCTATAAAAGAGGGGCAAGTTAGTCATTTTAAATTCAAATACATCAATCAATAGCCCCCAATAATATGAGCTTCACGGGTGAGAGGCAGGAGTGAGGGACAATAATGAAACTAAAAAAAGGGTACAAGATAAAGAATTTTTTATTAAATTGATAAAATTTAACAAATGAAAAAATGTTGATAATGTTTGATAAAATGTTTGGTAACGTTTACGTTTTGGTTTGTATTTAAAAAAATTTAATAAATTGATTTTTGTTAATTTTTATAAATATGTAGTCTCCAAACATATTAGTTTGAACTAAATATTTGAAAAATATTAGAAACATATTGAACATACAGGCCTAAAAAAATTAATTGACAGAAAAATTAATTGACATAAAAGTTATTTGGAAAAAAAAAATATTTAAAAACAATTAATTGAAAATAAAAAATTCATTTTTTTATTTGAGTATTTAAAAAATAGTTTGGTTATGACTGTTGATCAAAAACACGGATATCGAGTTGTGAGTTGTGTCTCTGATTATCAATTATAGGTTGACTTAAGTTTTGAAAATTATTTTGAAAACTCATCACCAAACAAATTTTCTTATTTCATATGTCACATCAAACTTTTAAAACTCAATTCCACATACAATTCAAAACTTAATTCAACACTCTATTCAAAAATCATAGTCAAACAAATTTTTTACACTCAAATCATAATTTCAAAACTCATAAAGCCTCTGTTTGGGAAGTGGGTTGGCTTTTTGACTTTTTGACTTTTTTGGCTATTTGAGCCTGGGCTCAAAAGCTTGGTTTGAGAAGAACTTTTTGGCTTTTTTGACTTTTTTGTGAGAGAAGAGTGTAATGATTATGGGTTGGATGTAATGTTTTGTCTGTTGTGGCTCAAATAGTCTATTCTGTCTTTTGTGGCTTTAAGAGCCCAAATAAACTCTTCCCAAACGACACCAATACAATTCATATTCTCAAATCATAATTAAAAAACTCTACCAAACACAACTATAATTTCTCTAGACAACTTACCCTTTTGTAGATTGTAAATTTATGGAGGGTAGTCAATGTTGTTTGATCATTTCATTTTTTTTTTATCAATATAACATTAAGGTAAGATACATACAATTATGTATCGTGAATCACATGCTTTGAGGAGTCACAAAAAGTGGCACTCTAGATATAAAGATTTAAGAAAATAAATAAATAAATAAATAAATAAATTGGAGTCATGAACCATTTTTTTTTTTTTTCATTTCTCCTCTCTCACACGCACACCAAAAAAAAAAAAAAATTGTGACTCATTCATGAATTTTCTGTGTTATATCATGTCCCAATGTGAACATGTGCAGAGAATTTCCCTAATGGTTATGAGAGGCTCCAAATATTGGAATCCTAACTAATAACCCACAATTTCAAAGTATTATAACAATACCATTCAAAAATATTATTTAGAAAAATACATTAAGTGTACCTCATATTCTAACCATTTTAAAATCTACACCATACACTTTATATTCAAGGTAATCTTAGGAATAAAAATTCATAATAAATAGCATTTTCCAAGGTAATGTCCTCCCACACTGGCTTGAATTTGTATCTGCATATGGTAAAAAGGCAATGGTATAGATATCCAAGTAAAAAATGTGTTTCTCCATTGCAGTATTACATTGGAAAGGCTTATCATTGAAGGGTTTATGGATCAGATCATAAAATTGGATTAAAGATAATAAACATTTTTCAAAAAATATACACAAAATAAAAGGCAAAAGTATGTTGTCCTAGAGCACGAGACTTATGTCAGTGCAGTATCTAACAAGGGGCACATGCAGACTGGCTCTTTTCCGTGAGGCTTACACAAAAACACAAAAATTAAGGTAGCGTTTGGTAGAGTTTTGTAAATGTGATTTGAGAGTATGAGTTGTATTTTGAGTTTGTGTGTTGTGGAATTATGATTTGAGTGTAGAAAATTTGTTTGGTAAAGAGTTTTGAAAATAGTTTTAGAAAAGAGGTTTGATTTGAGTGGAGAATTATTGATGTGACATTTGATATGTGATACAAAAATTTACAACTCATAACTAAACATACAACTCAAAATTATTTTAAAGCACATAAAAAATTTAAAAATTTTCAGAAAATATTTGTTCCGATTATGTAAATCAATTGCAAAAAAAAAAAAAAAAAAAAAAAAAAAAAAAAAAAAAAAAAAATCTGGAAATCAGCCGGACATCCGGGTGGTCTATCGGGTGGTCATCCGGGTGGACAAAAAAGGCGCCTGTGCATCAGAGTTCTCTCTGCAGAGTGTAGAAAATTGATTTGAAAACGAAACCAAACATCATGCTCCAACACACGGGTAGAAAACTGATTACAGAGCACAACCAAACAGACCAAAATTCTTAAATTGACCTTTTCTTGAGTAGTCTCTTCATACATTACTCGTTATACTTTTGGCCATGGTTTTCTCACAATGTTCTCACCTACACCAAGTTCTAGACCAAGATAACTATAGTACCAGGATTGAAAAGGAAAGAATATTAATTAAGATACAAAAAAAGTAAAAAATGTTTATTGATAAGGGCTGTGCTTAACGAGCAAGGATCCTCTAGAGTTTTTTTTTTTGTAAAATTTTCTAGAGTGGTGCATTGTGTGGTTGAAATTTAATGACAAGTCACATCAATTTTTCAGCATTAAATCTCAACCACACAATACACCACTTTAAGAAACTTTAAGAAAAAAACACTCTAGAGGATCCTTGGTGGTGCTTAACAAGGTAGCGGCGTGCTTCATAGAATACAATGTGCTAGTAGCTTCTCTACCACTACCAGTACAGGAAAGCCACACACACCCAAAAAAAGAAAAAATAACAAGCTTAAAATACATGGAAAACTAATAATGCAACCGCATAATTACATAACAAATATCTGGTATAAAACGAAAACTAGTTAGCAACATCATTTGCAAAATGCATGGAGCGTTTCATCAAGAGCCTTTCGATCATAATCCCCAGTAAAAACACAATTGCCTAATGGACCTTTCAAGAGGATGAGCCTTAGTAGGCCATCGGCCACTTTCTTATCAACCTATCATCCAAAATAATAAAAAGCATTGGGCATGAGAGAAACACTTAAACTTTGATTAAAAAAAAATTATACCAATAATTTAATCTCTTACCGCCATGACAGACTTGAACATCTCGACTGTCATTGTTTCAGGAGGAGTAATGGGTAGCTTAGCTGCTTGCAGGATGTCAAGAGTTCGCTTCACAATTGAATCATCAATCCAACCAAGGCGGTATGACATGTCAACAGCCATAACCTGAACAATGACACATAACCCACCTTCAGCATAAACAAGTTGCTGGTTAATTTTTCATCTTTGCTAATTGAAAATAATGAACACAATACCATGCCGGCTGCAACAGCTTCTCCATGAAGCCACTGCCCATAGCCAAAACCAGTTTCTATAGCCTGCAAAATATATGCTATATGATGAGAAAAAAAACTGCTAAAAAAAAATATTCAATGAAAAAGTAGAATGGGATAGTGACTAAATAATACACAATTAAATATTGTTGTAACCAAAAATAAGAAAATGTGTGCATATGAAGTTGGAAGAAAAAAAAGAGGCGAAGATACAATGAAAGACTTTAGACATGACGAGTCAAGAGTACTATTGTAGCAAACAAGGTAAAACGTAGGTTGTGTTTGGTAAAGTTTTCTAAATATGATTTGAGAATAGAGTTGTATTTTGAGTTTGTGAGTTTTGGAATTATGATTTGAGTGTGAAAAATTTGTTTGGTGAATGAGTTTTGAAAAGAGTGAGGTATTTTTGATGTGACATATGATATTTGATACAAAAATTTACAACTCATAACCAAATACACAACTTAAAGTTCTATTCAAAACTCATAAAAAATTATAAAAATTCGAAAAATATTTTTTATTGAATATATAAAAATTAACATGTGTCGATTGCAAAAAGTAAATAAATAAATAAAAATAAAAATAATGCACTGTTCTGATCAACCGGTGGGACGATCGGTTAGTCCAAATTTTCCCGCATTGGACAAAGTTTTCAAAAGTGAGTGTGAAATTAATTTTTGAAAACCGTAAACAAAAACTAACGTTCCAAAACTCTACTAAACAGAGCCATAATATTTACAAGCATATCTTAGATGTGACCTCACTGATAGTGAGCACACAAGAGAACAAATGCTCAAAGATTAATAACATGAATAATAACCTATTTGCTGTGGATATATTTATTTATTTTTATATTGCAATTTTCATCAAGTTTCGATAATATAGAAAGAAAAGTCATGTCAAGCAGCAGAAATATTTTCTAGAAAAATATAAAGAGAACAAAAATCATCAAGCAATATCATTAAGCAAAAACCAAACTGAAGCACCTCAAATTATGACAATCTGATAATGAAAATTGGAATCAAGTTCAAGGTCTTACAAAAAAAAAAAAAGAAAAAAAAAAGGGATAACTGTGATAAGTATTACAAAATTCAAATAAGCCTCCTGTGTACATTGTAGTGGCACCAAGAATAAAGTAAACAAGCAAGATTCACAAGCCACCAAAAAAAAAAAAAAATGAAGACAGGAATATACTCTATTGAACAAATTGACTTACATGGCCGAAAGTGTGACCCAAGTTCAATGTTGCCCTCAGTCCACTTTCCTTCTCATCTAAGGATACAACCTCAGCCTTGTTTTCACATGATCGCTTGATAGCATAAGCTAGTGCATTGGGGTCCCTGCAAAAGAGCAAACCGTTATAGTTTTGCATAACATTCACCTACAAAGCCATAGTAAAAAAGCACCCGAGCACTATTTTTTCCTTTTGGGATACATTCAATGCACACACTTTTGCAATAAAAAATCATGTACATTATTCATCTCTACTATGCGCCAAAGCATGTTATAAAGGCAAACTAGGTTGAAAAGGAATTATTTTCGAATAATCCTAATAGCATACAATTGAAATGAATCATTTTCAACTCCATTCCTCACAAGTAGTCCCAATGGTTTAATGTCTCACATGATATCTAATCTCATCTAAAATACGCACGATAAAATTTGAATCCATATATCAATTCATCACATAACGAAACTTCCTAATTTTTTTTTTCTACTTTTTGAATCCATTTAAGATATCCACTCAACAAAGCCAAATGACTACCAAGACACAGAATCATGCAACTACACCACTATGATACTATCAATTATTTTCCAAACATAACTAATTTGATGTAAGGAGAAGATGATGACAATAACAAAGATATATTTTACCTCGCCATCAATGCCGGCATATTCTTCTCTTGCCACTCAAAAAATTCAGCATCCCTAATAAGCCCATACTTTATAACCTCAGCAAGCCCTGATGCTAATTCTCTTTCTGGCAATGTGTTCAATGTATCAGTATCTATAAGCACACATTCAGGTTGATAGAATGCACCAATCAAATTTTTCCCAAGACGATGGTTTATTCCAGTTTTTCCCCCTACAGAAGAATCCACCTGAAAAGGGAAAAGCAATCAACAATCAGATGCCATATGGAAAACAAATATAAGTGTATGGTTCGAGAGAGATAGAAGATGAAACAATTTGAGGGTTGAAACAAACTTGTGCCATGACAGTCGTAGGAATCTGAATGAAATTAACTCCACGAAGGAAGGCGGCAGCAGCAAATCCACACATGTCACCAATGACACCACCACCAAGGGCAACAAATGTACAACGTCGATCCAACCGTGACTCAATTGCCTTGTCAAAGACTTTCATGAGAGTGTCCTATCAAAGCATAATCACAGTACAACATTCATGTTAACCACCATTCCTCCAAAAGTTTTAAAACAAAATGTCATAAAACAAAACCTCATGAGACGCACCATGTTCTTGTACTTTTCACCATCTGGTAAAATAACACTCTCAACAGAAACATTTGGGTTCCCATGTGTTAAAGCACTAACAACTTTATCCAAGCAGATTGGTGCAACTGTGGTGTTAGTGACCACAAGGACTCTCTTGCCATGAACATGCCTACAGAATAAATGAAGTATATGAACAAGAAAATCAAAAAAAAAAACCCGAAACATGGAGTTTACAAGGTTGTTGAACCACAAAATCAATCAAAAACCACAACATTGAGTTCACAAAGTTGTTCAATTCCATTTATCTCTATGTTGAATTGTTAAAAAATAAAGACCACACACGCATACACACACACAGAAAACCATGCAAAGGAATATGGAAAATTGATTAAGCAAATACATAAAGAATTAAGTTGAATTCTTAAACCCTTTTATTTCAGTTGTCTAGTTCCAAAAGGGACATAAGGCAAAACATTGGGTTGAATAATTATAGAACTATATTTTTTTTTTCTTATCTTTTTTGACCCTTGAACAAGGACAAATAAAGACAAACAACCAACAAGGAGGAAAAAATAATATTAAACAGCTGAGGCATGGGAAGACCGCCCCACATGTCAAGCTAGCTATATCCAGGAGCAATGCTTCTCTAAGCAGAAAAGGAAGGCATCTACCATCAAAAGGACCCAAGAAACCATAATTCACAACTCATTTTGCAAGTAAACATGCTTCATTATTAGCAGCTCTATGGAAAAACCCAGCTCAAGAAGACAGCTAAAGACAATTGGTATCCTATACAACTGCCAGTGCCTACATAGGGTGGAGGATTTGGGACAACATAGCTACAACTGCAAAAATGACTGTGCAACCCAACCCCTTTAAAAGCCAGCCTGCACAAATCAGACTCCTTATCCATTTCAATGTTGTTGAGCCACGGATTGTGAACAGAATGTTATCACCACACATCACTAACACCTTCCCTTCTACGTTTTATTGCATGATTTGCGTCTTGGCCCAATTAGCAAAGGGGGAAAAACAGCTCTAAGTAGCAGCTCGGTAATCCTGTAACCTAGAATACTGGAGACAACTAGTACACTTTTTTTTTTAAAACCCAAAATGAACTAAGTAGACCGTCTAACAATTTTGGAATCAAACAACGAAAAGCATAGTGATGCTGCAGTTGGTTGCCAAGACAAATGGGTGAAAGGGATGGTATAATATGTCGGCACTCGGGACATTTAAAGTTTCAATTTGCTCATCTTTTCTCACCCAACTGAAAGTCAGCAAAGGTCGCAGTTTTGTCGAGGTTTCAGTTTAATTTTTGTTTCATTTGTTCTTCTACTTTTTTAACTTCCGTTCCTTTTCAACCAGATGGAATGGAATTGATTGAGCACAATGATACCAAATAAACAAGCTTCAATTGCATTAACCAGTTCGTCCCTAACACATCATATACAAGGAATAACCAAACCATTCAACATAGGTCCACATTATATAGGTAATTAGATATACATACACATAGAGAGAATGAAGATCAAATAGGAATTGGAGAGAGATAATAATACTTTTGAAGAAGATGAGGCTGATCAAGTAGTCCAGATCCGATGTAGATCGGGTAGCTCCGGTCGCCCAAATCGACATCGACGATGGTAGGAACGGTGGAAGTGGTATTACTAGGCGGCTGGGCCACAACCTGAGCTGCTGAAGTCGCCGACACCTTCATTCGACAAGCAGGAGCACCGTTCCGGTTCAATTGCGAGGACAGAGAAGAGCATCGAAGAGATACAGAATCGGAGTTTCGGAACCGGAGGAAGAAATCGGCGGCGGTGGAGGGGGGTTTGGAGAGAGAGGTGGTGCGGTGAGTAGAGAGAGAAACAAGGTGTTTAGGAGAGAGAGAGGAGGAAGCCATTGGAGGAGGGGTTTGGGTTTGGGTTTGATTGGGTGGAGGGGAGAGAGAGAGAGGGAATGGTGTGTTGTTGGGAAATAGATGGAGGTGTGTTTTGTTTGCTTTTGAACATTATTGAGAGAGAGGGGTTGAACAGATACACATCTTGGACTTGATTGTTTGTACTGGAAGCACGAGGAGATGAGTTTTGGTGGGGGTAGGTGAATGAAGACATACAGTTCCGGGTCGGGCAATACCTGTAGGTCCGGGCATAGACTTTCCGGTAAATCTACTACCTACTTCTAGGCTTCTTCTCACTCTCTCTCCACGTTTTTTATTTCTTTTTTAGAATTAAAAAATCCATTTTCATTGGTGCATATATATTTTGTTGTAAAGAATAATGAAAATAAAAAACTTTTATTAAGGCCTTGATTGTCATAATCTAAAAAAATTAAAAAGTCATTATCTTATTTAAGTCATATCATCTTATTTAAGTTATATCACATCTCTACCACATATCCAACTCATGTTTTATAAAAAGTCAAAAAGTATACTTATTTAAATCATCCTAAACCATTCTTAAAAATAATAAATTATTATTTTAAAAAACCGCTCTATTTTCATTAAAACACAATGTTAGTGACACTAATTTTTTTACTAAAAAGTCTATCAAACACTCGTATCAGTGTTGGTCTTATATGAGTGTGGCTGTGTGAGAGATTTTGTAGATTTTTTTTTGATAATTTGGCTAGTATTTCTAACATTTTTCTTTTTATTATCTTGTTTTTCTTTTAGAACATACTTATTTAAATCATCCTAAACCATTCTTAAAAATAATAAATTATTATTTTAAAAAACCGCTCTATTTTCATTAAAACACAATGTTAGTGACACTAATTTTTTTACTAAAAAATCTATCAAACACTCGTATCGGTGTTGGTCTTATATGAGTGTGACTGTGTGAGAGATTTTGTAGATTTTTTGATAATTTTGCTAGTATTTCTAACATTTTTCTTTTTATTATATTGTTTTTCTTTTAGAACATGAAAAATAATTATATTAAAATAAAACAAAACAACATACAATAAAAAAAAAAAAAACAAGATCTAAAAGGTCAAACAAACAACCAAATAAAAAAAAATTACAAATTCATAAAATTAAAAATAAAAACTACGATCTAAGAAAAATTACCGATCTTTTCAAAGATGTTTGGAAAGTTTGATTTACATCAAATCAAACAAAATTTGCATCAACACTCGTCGTCACCATTGACATCGTCCCCATCGTTGTGGCCGTACTTCAGACACTGCTAGAAGTAAGAGTTGAAAAGAAAGAACATTTACAATAATATAGAATGCGGCTTGAGAGAAGAGGAAACCATAGTAGACGTTGAAAATTCAAAATTTTATGTCAAAATCGGAGGAGAAATATTCAAACTCCTATTTCAGACAATAAAAATAAATAAATAAATAAATAAATAAAACCTCATATATGTACTCTAGAAGTGTAGATCTATACTCTAAGAGTGTAAATATACACTTTAGAAGTGTAAGCGAGATCATCGGAGCACCGCCAAAAATCTCGTAAAGAGAGAAGCTCTCGTTGCTCTCTCTCTCTTTCTGGACTCACATATTACCATCATCAAACTATCGCTAGACAATTGTTGAACTAGGGTCGAAAAATTTTTTATGTCAAAAAAAGTTACTGACAGTGATCGGTGATAGTGGTAATGATTTAGAAGTGAAACTCTTTTTATTTATTTATTTATGTTATGAGAAACTTACTATGGTTGCAAATGAATCGAATTATTCACGAACAGATTCGGCTTGGGTCATTAAGGGTTTGATAGTAAATGAGCAGACTTCAAACTCGAATATTAAGCTCGTTTAGTAAATGAGTCAAATTCGAGCTCAAATAAGTTTGGCTCGTCAAACTCGACTCGTTTTATTTTTATTTAAATTATATAATAAATATATTATTTATATATTAAATAAAATAAATAATATTAAAAAAAATTATTGAGCCGAGCTGAGTCAAGTTCGAACCCAGTTACTCATCGAACCCACATCGAGCTTAATAAACAAACTCAATAAATAAACAAATCGAATTCAAACTTAGTAAAATTTTACTTAACTCGACTTATTTATAGCCCTAGTTAACACCATGTGAATGGTACACAAAATTACAATTATTGACATCAACTAGATCATGACATGACACAATAATTAAATAGCTTTTGTCGATGTTAACTGTCACGATCCAAACCTGCCCCTATAGGTTTTGCGTCGTAACCGGCCAATAATCCTCGGATTACCAAAAGCCTTTTAACATAATGACCTATAATTAGGGGCTACGGAAGTAAATATACAAAATAACGTAGTCCATAAAGCTGTGTTGATGTATATGAGACAAAAATTTAAAACTTTAATAACATACATGTGACATCATTTATATTTACGTTAGTTGAGCATCACTCTCATATACAGATAAAACAAAAGTAGGGCTTAGCTCAGCATATAGATAAGCAGAACTTGTTCTATACTCAAAAGAAGACAAAGTCTTAAACATAAGCCATTCAAACTTGACTCGCTCACAAAAGGGAACCACCTCGGAGGCACAACGGCTGGCTGACAAAACTGAGACGCCAGGTCCTCAACTCTGAGCCTGGTCATGCGTCTGGCTGCCTACATACATAATATAAATAGTGAGCGAGAGCCTAGTGAATAATAACAGAGTAAAGAGTTTAAATGAATGATGTCCGTCACAAATATAACTTTTAAATCTCTTATTGAACAGAAACATAAACATATTCGTATCATGAGTGATGTATCCGTTAGCATTAAACATATCTCTTTGGTCAAGCATATTAAGTTCCACGTTAGAACCACCGATACCCGGTAACATATCTTATATGTGGGCCACGGTATTGTTTTCCCCGGGCGAGGGCCTCATGACCATAAGCCACAGTATTATGTCCCCTGGGCGAGGGCTTCTGCTAAGGATACCACAATTACATTTCACAGGAGTGGATCATCATTCATGTAATCACATCATATTCTTTTCTATCATTCGAAACAAAACCGTTTATATCATATCATAATTTTAGAAAGTATTTCATATCGAACATAGCTTTACTAAGTTATTATTCACAGATAGCTTGATACCAAACCAATGGATCAATAGCTCACGGCGCATGACCTGCACCAACATAATAGATAAATATACTGAAACACACGCTTGGATTGTACATAACGCATTTCATTTCATTCTTAGTGTGTTTCTAACTCTTATTATTGTGTCTTAATCTTGGCCTAGGAATGCCTAGGATGCAATAAGGATGCCAAAATGCACTTAGAAACACTTAACAAAACTTGTTAAAAACAAGGGTCATGCTCGAGTGCAATTTCCCTCACTCGAGCGAACATGCAAACATGTGAGGGGCTGCTCGAGCGTAACTTCCCTCGCTCGAGCGGTCTGTAAACTCTGAAAAAGTACTGGTTGCTTGATTTTTTCGCTCGATGCTCGCTTAAGCGTGAGACGCATTATCTCGCTCAAGTGCAACTCTTGTTGCTCAAGTGGACTGCAAAACATGTAAACTTCTAGGAGCAAGATCACAAAGTGGTCGCTTGAGCGGAGGGATCGAATTCTAGAATTTCCAGATTCAACTCCAAGCTGTAAATCTCGAATTCAACACATCAAAACTCATCCTTTTGGGCCAAAAACTTAAGAAAACACTTGTAAACTTGTCAATCATGAAGAATTGAGGATCTTTTTATAAAATCAAGGCCCAAGAGCAAGTGAATTATTCAAAACTCATCTTGAAAACACATGCATGTAAGAACTTGAACATTAGCTTCCAAAACATGGACAATTAAGGTGTTTGAGTGTAAAACCATGTTGAACTCTCGAAATGTAGTACAAATAACTCCATGCATGTGAGGTATGAGATAGAATTCAAACTTAACTTCATGAATTATGCATGTATGCATGTGTTGATCCTTAATTCTACTTCTAAGGTCTAATTAATGTAAGTAACCATTAAATTCCTTTGAATACCCATGTAAGTTAGCTTGATGCCTCAAAATGAGGGTTGAATTTCTTACCTAGACTCTTCAATCTCTTGTATCCTAGCAAGTTCTTGGGCAATTCCTCTAATTTCCTTCAATTGTTAAGCAATTTCTCTCCTCCTAGTTTTGGATTCAAGCTCCTTCACTCTCTCTCTCTCCCTCTCTCTCACGATTTTGAGCTCAATAGTGCAAATTAAGTGACGAAGAAGTGAGTTTAAAAGGTGTATTGGCCTTATATAGGCTTGCTTAGTGGTTTTTAATTAATTTAGCTTAAGCTAATCAAAATGGCCTTAATTATTCTAATTTAATCGTTCCGAACCAAATTTTATTTAAACCTACCATAAAATTCTAAAAATTCTAATTAACACAAAAACCAAGTCAACTTCATGATCAGATGCTGATAGGGCCTTCAATTTACAGAATAGAACAAAATTAGAGACATATATTCCTACACAAAACAGATAGAAAACTCATATAACACATAACACACGTAGTGAATGCAAAATTTCACTTTAATTACTTATTAAGCATTCTCAATCGTGGATTGCATGTTAATCAGAGTTCGAGGTTGTTACAGCCTTCCCTCTTTAAAGAGTTTGGTCCTTCAAACTCGAAAGTACCTTCATTTTGGAAGAACGTTGGGTTCAACGAAAACAAATCTAGATATCTTTTTATCATATCTTCTTCCGTTTCCCATGTAGCATAAGTTTCACCATGATTTTGCCAATCAACTTTCACCAATGGAATTTCTTTGTTCCTCAGTCTCTTGATTCTTCGGTTAATGATTTGAATTGGTCGTTCTTCATACATATAATCATCTTTCAAAAATACATGTGTCGACTCAATAACATGAAATGGGTCCCTCAAATAGTCCCGAAGCATTGAAACATGAAAGACATTATGCATATTTTCCATGACTGGAAGTAAGGCTATCCGATACGTCACCGGGTTAATTTTCTCAAGGATTTCATAAGGCCCAACATATCTCGGTGCTAACTTACCCTTCACTCCAAACCATGTCTGACCTTTCATTGGAGTCACTTTGATAAACACATGATCTCCGACTTCATATTCTCTATCACGCCTTCGGACATCGGCATAACCCTTTTGACAGCTCTGTGCAGTTTTCAGACGTTGATGAATCAATTTCACTTTTTTGGTTGTTTCTTGCACAAGTTCCGATCCCAACAACGGTCTATTGCCTAACTCAGCCCAGCAAATTGGAGATCGACACTTCCTACCATACAAAGCTTCATAAGGAGCCATGCCGATACTGGAATGGTAGCTATTGTTATACACAAATTTGGCCAATGGTAAGTAGGTTTCCCAACTGCCTTGAAAGTCTAGGGCACACGTCCATAACAAGTCTTCCAGCGTCTGAATGGTCCGTTCAGATTGGCCATCTGTGTGATAACCCTGTCTCGTGTTATGTTAATTAATCTTAATTATGATTATGATTATGATTCTGTAATTAATATGATTTTAAGTGTCACTTATATGATTATGTGTGTGTTTGAATTCTTATATGTTCGCCGTAGGGAAATCTGTTTGATTTTCTTCTACAGAATTTAAATAGAAGGCCGTAGGGATTTCAGAAAGTAAAATTGACTGTATTTTTGTGCTTAGCATGATTTTTACAACCTGCGGTGAAATTAATTAAAAATTGATTTGGGTCAAAATAATTAGATTCAATATGATTAAATTAGAGCATCGTTATTTAGCCTTAATCAACTTGATTAGCCAAGCTTATAAATAGGCCTATATGCACTCAAATTTCTTCTTTTGAACTCATCTTGGCTGAAAACATATTCTAGAGAGAGAAAGAGAGCCGGTTTAGAGAAAGAGAGAGAGAAGAGAAGCTATCCTTGTAGATTTTTGCAAGAGAATTCAAGATTTGAAAGGCTAGACTTAAGAACTAGCTAGAAATTGGAAGATTGGAGCCTCTGGGTGAGTAATTAGACATGAATTTATGAATTTGAGTTATAATTATCAGAACTCAAAGATAAATTGTAGTCAAGAATATGAATTGAGTTGAATTTGATGAATTTGAAGTTGGTATGTACATGCATGTAAAGAATTGTCATGAGTTTGCATATTTGAATACAAACATGCATTTTACGATGAATTGAAGGCTATTTGGCACATGCAAGCACGATAATGTTGAGTTTCATGAAGATGATCATCATTTGTATTATTTAAGTTGAAAATAAAGCCTAAATTTCACATGCATGTAAAATTCAAAATGATGTGGAAATTAATTTGCATGAGCTTTGAAGTTATGAAGTGAGTTTGATATGATTCGAGTTTATGAGATGATTTATGTGAATTTGAGGTTCAAATCTTGTGAAATTGGCCTTTATATTCATGTTAAAAGTTATATGGTAGAAATATGATCCATATGATATAAGTTACATCAATTGGAATGCAAGTTTGAAGCTTAAACAGAATTCTGGAAAATCCAGAATTCGACCTGTCCACTCGAGCGAGGAAAGTCTCGCTCGAGTTTGAAAACTTAGCTCCCAGAAGTTTTGCAAAGATTACACGGTGGCTCGAGTAGCTGAATCTATGCTCGAGCGTACCCAGCTTTACATGACTTCTCGCTCGAGCGTCAATAGTCTCGCTCGAGCGTAAATTGCAAGCAACCAGAACTTTTGCAGACCAAAGGGGTCCGCTCGAGTGACTAAAACTGCGCTCGAACGGAGAGCCTTGTTTTAGAAAATTTGAAAAGTTGCTTTATGTTTTATTTTCTGTTCTCTTTCACTTCTAAGCACTTTTAGACATGCATAGAGCATTATAAATGGACTAAGAAGATAAGAAAGAGGTCTAAAAGGAATAAATAAATTAAAGAACGGATTGAATCGCTTGTGACCCGATGTGTTATGAAATGTGAAAAGTCAAGCGCAAGGGCAAATCATCTAGCAGATCGTTGTGAGTAATATCTTAATAAAGATATGTTCAAGTACATTATTTTCCACAATGTTACTTTTGTATGAGCCTTATGGATCTGTATTTTGAATTATGGATGAATAGTCTAAATGTCAGTCTTTTGCATAAGACTAATTGAATACAAATGTGATTATGATCATGGGTATGACACACATATGAATACAAATATGGAAATGAATGCTGGGCCAAAGGCCATTTGACAAGAATGATTGGGTTAAAGGACGTTTGACAAGAATGGTTGGGCCAAAGGCCGTTTGACATGAATGATTGGGCCAAAGGCCGTTTGACATAAATGATTCGGCCGAAGGCCGTTTGGCACGAACAAATTGGGCCCAAGGCCGTTTGATAAAAATGAATTGGTCTCGAGGCCGTTTGATATATTTGGGCCTTAGGCCGTTTGATGTCTTAGATGGAAATTTGAATGGGCCTATGACCGTTTGATATGTTTGCTACAAATTTCATTCATGTAACTCCTTTATTTTAATATTATTCACTGGGCTATCACTCATTCTCATTTATATGTGTGTAGGAGCAAAGAGATGTTCAATCCCAGCCTCAGTAAAAGACATGAGAGAAGTCAAGTTTTTGTAGAGTCAGCCTGAACGTCTCACGCGTGAGACTTGTTTTGTTTTCTTTTGTTTTCTCTTTGTTACCTTGGTGAATATGTTAGATCACCATGCACATAAGCTTTTTGTTTGGTTGACTGTATGTTTGAAAGTTCTTGGACATATAAGATGATAATTTTGTCTATATGTGTGAATTATTATGGAATGTTTGTTTTACTATGTAAGCACAGCTCATCGGACAAAATTTTTTAGTCAGCTTCCGTTCGGCCCCATTATTGTTATAAAGTATGTTTGATTTCTATTTGAGGCCGTAGGCAATCCTATGATTATTGGCCAGTTATGATCATAATTTATAAGGGCGGGTTCGGGTCATGACAATCTATTTGTGGGTGATAAGCACTGCTTAGTCTCAATTTAGTTCCCAGAGCTTGCTGTAGACTCTACCAAAATCTTGAAGTGAACTTAGGATCTCTGTTAGATACAATAGATACTGGCACACCATGTAATCTCACAATTTCATTAACATACAAGTTAGCCAACTTGTCCGCATTATACAAGGATTTGACAGGTAAGAAATGTGCGGATTTAGTTAAACGATCAATAATTACCTAGATAGAGTCCATACCTCAGGGAGAGCGAGGTAATTCCACAATGAAGTCCATCGTGATGTGTTCCCATTTCCATTCCGGTATTAGAAGCGGCTGTAGCAATCCGGCAGGTCGATGATGTTCAGCTTTAACTTGTTGGCAATGTAAGCATCGAGCCACAAAATTTGCAATGCTTTTCTTCATTCCAAGCCACCAGAAATTTTGTTTAAATCATGGTACATCTTTGTATTACTCGGATGCATAGCAAATTTTGAATTGTGAGCCTCGATCATAACACGTTCCTTAAATCAAAATGGTCCGGTACACAAAGTCTATTCTGGAATTTCAGCACATCATTCTCAGTCACAAATCTCGACTTCGGTTTTGAGCCAATCCCTTCAATGATTCTCTTCAAAAACTCATATTCACATTGTTTCTCTTTAATTTCTTCAATGATAGCAGGTTGAGCAGAAATGGCAGTCAAGATCCCACCTTGTTTATGCAACACAATTTCAATCTTATTCTTCTCCAAGTTACATAACATCTCTCTTTGACCAGTGAGCAAGCATGACAAATTCCTGATAGATATCTAGCTTAATGCATCTGCAATGGCATTTGCCTTCCCTAGATGATACAAAATTTACAAATCATAGTCCTTGATCAATTCCAATCATCTTCTCTGTCTCATGTTTAGCTCTTTTTGGGTGAAGAAATATTTTAAACTTTTATAATCTGTATATACTTCACAAGTTACTCCATATAGATAATGGCGCAAAATTTTTAATGTAAAAACCACAGCTGCAAGTTCAAGGTCATGGGTTAGGTAGTTCTTTTCATGTGGACAGAGTTAACGAGAGGCATAAGCAATTACCTTCCCGTTCTGCATTAACATACCCCAAGCCTTTGTAGGAGGCATCATTGTAAATCCAAAACCCATCGGTTCCGTTAGGCAGTGTCAAGATAGATACAGTTACCAATCTAGTCTTCAAAGGCTGACTCCTGCTGATTAGTTCAATCAAATGGCATGTTTTTTCTGTGTTAATTGTGTCAATGGCATAGCAAGTTTGGAGAAATCTTTCACAAATCTTCTGTAGTAACCAGCAAGTCCCAAAAAACTTCTGACTTCAGACACATTAGTTGGTCTTAGCCAATCAACCATAGCCTCAATTTTTTGTGGATCCACTAATATGCCATCTTTGTTGATTACATGACCCAAAAATGCCACGTTGTCAAGCCAAAATTCACACTTGGACAATTTTTCATATAATTTTCTTTCTCTCAAAGTCTGTAGCGCAGTTCTCAAGTGATTCTCATGTTCTTCCCTACTTTTAGAATAAATCAAGATATCATCGATAAACACAACGATAAATTCATCGAGATACTGTTTGAAAACCCTGTTCATTAGGTCTATAAAAGTTGCTGGTGCATTCGTTACCCCAAATGGCATGACCAAAAATTCATAGTGCCCGTATCTAGTTCTGAATGTTGTTTTCTCTATATCTTTTGCTTTAAGTTTAATTGATGATAGCCCAATCGAAGATCAATTTTAGAAAACACTTGGGCTCCCTAAAGTTGGTCGAACAAATCATCTATCCGGGGCAATGGATATTTATTCTTGATAGTTAATCTATTTAGTTCCCGATAATCTATACATAATCTCAAGGACCCATCTTTCTTCTTAACAAAGAAAACTGGAGCACCCCAAGGTGAAGTGCTCAGGCAGGTGAATTTCTTGTCTAATAGTTCTTGAAGTTGGGTTTTCAATTCTTTTAGTTCTAAGGTTGACATTCTGTAAGGGGTCTTAGAAATAGATTGTGTCCCAGTGCTACTTCAATAGTGAACTCAATTTTCCTATCAACTAAGTCTCCAGGTAAGTCATTCGGAAACACATTGGGAAATTCACAAGCAACAGGAATAGTTTCCACATTAGAAT